CATCTATTTGAACCTTTTCACCTCTCATGAGCACTTGAATTGTTATGAACTTTGTAAAAGTTAAAGTGTGGGGTGGTTGGTTTGGCTTTTAAGCGGAACTAATGAAATAAGGAGAAAGGTGCACTGTTTTGAAAAAGTAAGAGCCACTTGAATAGAAAAAGAAGAAAAAACAATATAGTTATTGTGAGCACATGATTTTTGCTTCACGGAAACTATTCCAAAAGAAATCGAAAAAATAAAACAAGTTACCTTCGGGTACAATTTTGAGAATTTACGTGACATTTTGACACTTGGGACATTTTGACAATCCTCAGCGTGACATTTTACCGCCCCGCGAGGGGCGTAAGGGAGTTTTTCCAATTAAAGGACAATCAAAACAGGATTTATTATTAAGATTCAGAGTCGCCACTTGGGAGGTTTATGGTGTCCCAAGTCACCAGTTGAATCCCGAATCGAGGAAGATAATGACTCTGTTTAACAGTCCGCGAACCAGAAATCCGGATAAGGAATTCTATTAACCCGGGAGAAGGTGTTAGGCATTCCCGAGTTCCGTGGTTCTATCACGGTCGCTCAACTGTCATGTTTAGCTTATTTATCTGATTTTTTACATGTTGTAACTTATGTGCCGATTTTAATTTTTAACCGCTTTTATTCAATTTATTAAAGAAAATTGAACGTCGTCTGAGACATGTCTTTGGATTGCGCCGCATGAAATGAACCCGCAATCCTGAAAACATCCGATTCGACGTTTTGGATTTGGATTTGGGTCGCATGAAATGCACACCCGAGTTTAGGGATGATAACATTATTAGATACGCACCTAAAGATGCTAACGCGTTATTATTTTTGAGAAGGCCGTGAAATTCGCTAAATGGCCCTTCCCGAAATCTAAAGAGTCAATATCTACATTTGTGAGGGCCCCACAGTTTGTGATTTATTTCGGCGAGGCGCAACTCATTTATTTTAAGGATATCCTAAAGCGACTACGTTTTCTATTTCGTTTGTCTCTAGAATAAAAGAAGAAAAATACATAATTTATTTACATGCTTGAGAGTTATTATTGAAAAACTTCGAACCTAAATAGTTAACATCGAAGATAGACGGGAACATGGGGGCAGAACAGTTTTGGGCCCAGGCCCAGCATACCGGGCGCAGAACTGGACCTGAACTATTTCTATTTTTAGCGTCTGGTCTGCTACTTACTTGTACACTTTTTGGTATTCACAATAAGGCAGAAATGGAATCAACAACTACAAAACCCCCTTTTATGACTCTAAATATACAAGTCTGCTAACTAAAACAGTTTAAACTACTGATTAATTAACCTAAAGTCTTTATACGTATTTGAAATATGCTTTGTAAAGAAATAAACTGAAATATCAGAATGCTACCACTACATTATTGGTTATTTAAACTAACATGCAGGGCAGTCTATCCATTACTACTGCTCGATACTTAGTTGTACGTAGCAAAGCTACTACATGCTTTTAACAGATGAAACTAACTACTATATTACACAACTTAAAATTTCAGAATATACAAAGCTAAATGTTAAAACTTCAGTTCTTCATTTCATATTCATGCTTCAAATTTCAGACTTACAAGGTTCAACAAATCAATTGTGTACCTGATATTTGGAAAAAGAAAAGAAGGAAAGAAAGATCAGTAGTGCAGCAGTAAACGCACAACAACAACAACAGTAGATTCAGCAACAACCAGCAATACAACCAGTAAAACCAATAACAGGTAACCCAGTAGCAGATTGAAAACCAGCAGCAAACTTAAGAATACCCAATAGTAACCACAAGAAACCAAATAGCAATACCCAAATGAATCCCAATGATCTAAGAAAACAAACACAAGGCGAAGCGGGGATGGACACTAATTCTCAGATTTTGAGTATGCAAGAGGAGAACAACTGAAAATCTTTTTTTTTTGGGTGTAAGCTTTAGCTTTTATCACTTCAACTAACTGAAATTCTATGGGTAAGAATTCCAGCCTATATGCACTCAATATATGACTCTTAAAATTCCCTATATCTCACTTTTAGGTTCTGTTTTTTTTTCTTTACTCTCCAAATCTGTTTTTCTAATACTGAACTGCTAATCTTCAAAATTCAGTCCCAAAATTTGTCCTTAGTGTCCCCTCTTTATAACAAAGAAATGTGTGTTTAAAAGACCAGTCATCCCCTTTTATATTCAAACTTTAGGTTTTTCAGCCTGTATATTCTTTCCCATGTGCACTCCTTAACCCCTTTTATCATTCAGCCCATGATATTCTGATTTCCACCTCAAAAGGTTTTTTTTTTTAAAAATGGTGTCAGCTCTTCAATTCTTTATTAAAAGCCCATGCTATTTTCGATTTCCAGCCAATAAAGGCACTTAACACATTATCACTCCCACCATTGATCCCTATTTTATTCATTAGTTTAGTGGTATATTAGTATTAAACTGACATACCATTAAAACTGAACAATTTTCAGGTTTCTAACATCCCAAAATACCCCTCTGGGAATCTAAACTACTGCCCTAATAGCTGATTTCTAACTGATCTCTAATGTACTACAGCTATAACCAATTCACAACTAAATTCAAATAATGATTCGATCAAAATGTGAAGCAGTATGAATCAGATTATTCTAACATTCAAACCTGTAAAACTAATCGATGACATTTATCCAATTGACAATACTAGCTATAACATATAACAATTAATCGATAAACAAATAAGACTAGACAGGCCACCAAATGATTTCAGCGGCTTTGCACAAAACAGGGAACCTACATGAATTAACCACTCGACGATATTAATAAAATCGAATACGTATCTTACCACACGTATTTAACAATGGTCAGAAGAAGAGTCGACCAAATAAAAGGTCTTATGAAGACGGAGAAAATTGAAAGAAAATAACAGAAAAATCAACAAATTAACTAGACATGATAACAAACACAAATAGAATTCAAACAAGAATAGAAGGGAAAGAGAAACTTATCTTGGAAGCTCAAAAACAAAACAACCCAGTGGGTGATATCGTACTGGAATTAACCATTGGTCCAGTCGAGTTCACCATGGAATTTCAAGTGATAAATGTGGCGGTATCGTACAATCTTTTGTTGGGACGACCCTGGATCCACGCAGCTAAAGCAGTACCTTCTACGCTGCATCAAATGGTCACATTTGAATGGGATAAATAAGAGATTGTGGTACACGGGGATGACGGTACACATGCCGTCAATGATGCTATTGTGCCCTTCA